TGTACATGTGTAATGGTAGTGAAAACCGACGTTAAGATACATATAAATAAGTATATTTTATATAGTTTTATTTTTGGCTTAAATATATAAAGGCGTTCTAAACATTTTTTTTATATCTCTAAATTGTTTGTTTTCGGTGGCCATTTCCGACGCTTCGCCCTAATCTAATCTGATACATGTTTACTCATCAAATATGACGTAATATTTTCGATTTGTTAAACATATGGTGACGCATTCATATAAAATTTCTTACGATTTTGGACTTAGTTCAGTTTTTGCAATCTGCATCCGCGTCTTAATAAACTCTATGTTTGGAATTTAAATTTATGTATTCACTATTATTTTTATGTATTTTTTAAATCAATTTCTGCTACTGTGTTATTTATCTATATGCACTATATTTATTTGAACGTTTACTTTGTCTTAAGGCCTCTACTTATACAGGGCCAAATTTAGTATTTCATTAAAGTAGTTAAATAACGTAACAAGTAGCCTAATCGAATGGTGGTATAACAATTTTTCTAGTGTTTGTATCAAATTGCTATTATATTATGTGTAGGCGCCGAAATAATTTAAATTATGTGTTTTAAAGATTGAGAACACATACTCATGTAGTATAAACGTATAAGACGTGTTGATATATGTTTTATTTTATATCTCGAATATTCCATTTTTCGAGGGAGTAAGATGTACATACATTTTAGGTATCAATTAAGATGATTCACAATAAATAATATTTTATCCCTTTCGCACCCAATTCTATTTATATTTGCTACTTTCTCATACTTTACTCAACAATTAAGAAAGCTGGTATTTTTAATATACACTAGCGGTCGCCCGTAACTCCGGTTGTGCAGAATTAAAAAAAAAACTTAATAAGCCTATGTTCAACATCTGTGCCAAATTTCATTATGATCCGTTCAGCGGTTTCGGAGATATACCTTCAAACAAACATCCATCCATCCATCCAAAATTCCGCCTTATAGCATTAGTAAGATAATTTATTTATTTTTATAAATTCCTGCTGTTTTTATTATTTGTTAATAATTGTTTGACATTAACCTGTCTTGTGCAATAAACTCTCGAATGATCGTCATTACTGACTTGTTTATTGCCACACTACGTAATCGATATGAACAAACTCAGCGTCAAACATTTTGTTGTTTATATTGTTTGGTTTTATTTTTGTATCTTATATTTCCGCATACGAATTTTTTAAGATAAAATGCAGAAATTATTGTTTTTTTTACGAATATATTATATTAAAAGAGTTATCGCAACTTTCTAGAACATATCTTATAGTGGCCTAGAAAGTGAGAACTAAAGCTTTTAGTTTTTATTTTTACGTCCAATTTAGTTTCTTTTTTATGTTTTATAATCAATAAACATTTCTAGGAAGCTGGCAAAATAGAAGTAGATTTAAATAGTAAAAGAGATGTTAAATTTTAGTGTGGAAAATAGTCTTTATCATTTAAATAACTGCTAGAATATTAATGAAAACCAATGGAAAAAATATCTTTGATAAATATTATCAAACAGTTAAGTAAGTTGGTACGGATATGATACTGAAATATTTTGATTGTGGCCAATTTGTAAACTGTCCAGATTATTATAATTTAAATTGTCAGCATAATACAAACAAAAAAAAATTGAAATGGTTTTTAAACAACCGAAGTCAAAGCATCAAGTTTAGTACTTACATTCTAAATCGTCGAAAGCATATTGTAAGCAAAATAAAATATATCTTAAGTTTTTATTTCATCCTATCTATCCGGTTTTGGACTTCTATTATATTCAGTCTATTGTGAAATAACTTTTAAATTAGTCTAAAAAATAATTATGACGCATTAAAACTACTTACCAAATTAGTTAGCTGGAAATATTTGAACATTCGAAGGTCTAACAGGCTTGTGCTATTAAAAAACAGTTTTATATCTTATCTATATTTCGAACATTAATTTACATTTTAACGAGCAACCAAAACTAACTTCAACTTAATTATTATTAAGCAATACTTCTGAATTAAAGTTATTTATGTAATGGGTATTTTGGTAAGGTTTTTTCAGCGTTGTTTTAACGCAAACTTTTTGTTACTTATAATAAAAAAACATGTCTAATATATATTTGTTAAAGATCGTGTCTTTTAAATGGCCATAAAATTATTCCCAGTTAACTCTTAACATTCGAGACTTTTTTTTTATATTTAAGTATGAAAATGATTGTATTTCCACATTAAGTAAATGTTAAACCAAAGACGTTGAATATTCGTGCAAGTTTTTAATAATCTCGAGTCTATAATATTCATAATAATCGTTTACTAAAGGTTGAAATTCTTCAATAATGGCTTATTATTACAGAGGGCGGTCAATTTTATGGTCGCTTGCATCCGCTATTGGTTGGAACTGTGCCACTATTGCATACCACATCCAATAGTAAACATTATCGCAACAAACATTTATACAAAAGTTTGGAGTGTATATTATGTATATGTTACGACAAAATTATAAACATAGGTAATTCATAATTTAACTGGCAATTTTATTCTTACAATTCTGATTGAACAAAACATTCGCAATTGAGTTATTTTTCTCAATAGTTTGTAATCTATCGGACACAGATTGTCAAAATGTGAATTTATATTTTATAATATAACCCAATGCAATCTGTGACAAATTTAGAATGTAAGTATATCAGATAAGGCTCGTTTGCCTAGCCATAACATCATGATCAGTTCACTGTACGTCCACACTGAGGGGCTCGAAGCTTACCCTAACTTAGAGGTCACTAGGCTATAGTCAACCACGCTGGACAGGTACAGGTTTATTGACTTCACACATACATATCTTTGAATTTCTTCTCAGATATGTCCAGGTTGCATTACGTTGTTTTCTTTACGTAAGAACGTCGGTAAATGCACATATGTAAATCGAAAATTGAAAAACACATAGGTACATAGCTGGATTCTAACCCAGGTCCTGCAGGCGACGCTCTTGAGACATAATAGTTTTGTTAATAATATTTTAAAAAGGCGTTAAAATATTTTGTTTAATGCGTTGCATGTAATATTAATAACCAGGTAACATTTGTAAGTAAAGTCAGTAACTAACGTTATTCACAATTTTAATGTGACACATTATATATAATACGCGTATTAACAAACTGTTCTTAATATTAACGGTATAATATTACAATATAATATTCATATCCCATTATTTAGTGTAATTATTCCATATTGGTTGTGCTGCTAAGATACATTTTATTTAACGGATTTTAAACCCGTTAATACAAGAAATTGAGCCAGATCAAGGATTTTATGATATTATAGCAAATATTGGAACACTTAATAACTGAAATTATCTTTGCTACCTTTTGCAGTTATCTTTTATTGCATACATTGTCCCAAGTCGTTGAGAAATCAACTAAGTACGTAAGCCAATCTTACATCTTATTAATATAAATGCGAATGTTGGGATGGATTGGTGGATGTTTGTTATTAGGTATCTCCAGAACAATTAAACGAATGTCGCTGAAACTCGGCATAGACGTAGAACATAGTCTAGAAGAACGTAGTCTACATATTATATTTTTTTATACGTATTTTTTAATTACGTATGTACGGAGTCTTTTTGTCATCTGATAATATAAAAATATCCCATTGAAAACATCCAAATGTAGAACGTTCTATATTTGAAATTGTTTTTTTTTTATTTCATGGCATTAGTTCTAATCAACGCGCGTGATTCTTCCAGCCAGTATTTAAAATGACGGTCGATATCAAAACTAACAGCCTCGCTTGCGGGGCTTCCCTTTCGTTTTAAAGGAGTCCCTACAAATGCTTGTATTTACTAATTATGGTTCAACAGCTCGCCATTGGGTCACTTGGCAATGACGAAGACCAATGTTGATGTACGCTTACAGATTTTTGGACCGACGATTCTAAGATCGAGTTACTAAACACGGCTTAGTATTGTTTCTAGGTCGAATTGTTAGTAAATCCAATTATAATTATCTATATGTATTTTTATCAATGAATTCCTATGTGACAAGTAATATAACAGACACGTAACTATAATTGATAACATATTAATTTTAGGGTTAAACCGAATTAATACAAATGGTAAAAAAAATAAAATAATTTATATTATTTTATAATTGGAACAAAAATGAACGGAAAAATAAACAAAGAATGCTTGTAAAGAATATAAAAAGAAAATCGTTTTTTTTAATACCTTAAATTACCTCTTTACATTTTCTTGTAGTAAGTCAGCATTTTATATATACGGTCATAACACTGTATATGCTTAAAATAACATTTTAAATATATATTATAAAGGAAGTCGTTATCGTTGTATGGGAACCGCCTTGGCCTAAAGAAGTTTTGAAAGATATTCAGCAACATAGCTAAGAATTGTACAATGACTAGACTTTTAATCATCATCATCTTCTCCCTGACCTTACCCTACTTACCTGTTGTCAAACCTTAATGTTTTGGCTTAATTTTTATGACCGGTGCCTGCCTATACATTTATATACATGGGAAGAATAAATTATAATTGAAAAAGTAATTATAAACTAAATAATTATACCTATTTCAAAATTACTTCTAAAAATACTCCAAAAATAAGTAACGGTAAATGTAATTATGGTAGACCTTGATTCGTTCAATTTTTTCATAAACAAATAAATAGAATATTCTCATTATGGAGAAAAGACCAAAAATAAAACATTCCGTAGCTATAACTTGGTGCACATTTCTTAGAAAAGGTTTTGTTCCTAAATTTATGACCATATAAAAGTCTGGTTTATTAAAGTATATTGTGATTACTTATTTTTTAAAATTACATATGTAATACATCGGTTGTAAATTATAACATTTTTCGCTGTTATTGGTTCACCTATTATTGCGAGAGTGAATTGGATTCGAGATGACTTATTGAATCGTTTGCACGGGCTTCTTAATATCAGAGACGCAGGGCTTGTCGAAATGTTATCCAAGATTCATGCTCGGGCGATCAGGAGCGAGGCCGGCGCGAGCGGCAGCGGGAGCGGGCCGCCGGCGCAACGCGCGGCAGTCTGCGCCCCGCGCTCGCCACAAAGCGATCGCCTCCGCCGCAGCTATGGACACGGCCCGCTCCCCCGTACTACGCGAGTCCGCTCCCCCGTGCGCGCCCGCCACCGCCGCCGCTCCCGCGTGCGCGCCTGCGCCCGCGCCCTTCCCCGCCTCACCGTCGCACCTCCGCCGCACGCTGCACTCGCTGCGCTCGCCGTTCCGCTCAGGCTCGCCCTTCCACATCGGTTCGATCAAACGCTCGGGCTCTACCAAATCCTCCGCCTCAGACGGCGATATCGCGCGCGACGAACGCACGATGCGTAAGAAAATAAAAAAACAACGCGCCGACACGTCCAGCGACGCCTCGCGCAGCACCGACAGCTCGCCGAGTATCGATAAAAAGAAAAAGGAGGGCGGTTTCATGCGGCGGATGGGCACTATCGGTAAGAAACGAGCGGAGGAATCTTCCCCGACGCCACCTCGAGACGACTCCTCGCCTTCTACATCCCAGATAGATGAATCTCCATCGTCTCTCCCGCCGCAATTTATAGACGTTTCTTCCTCGTCGTCCCAGGCGGATAACTTTTCTCCAACCGAAATAGAAGATAAAATAATGACGCCCCCGCAATCGAAAGAATCAACACCCCCGCCGCCGTCGCTACCCCCACCGCCGCAATTAGAAGAACCGAAAACCTCTATCGAGGAACAAACTACAACACATTCCGGTGAACAAAACGAAAACAATTCTCTGGATAATGAAACTACAACAGAACCCGTTCCTCTAACGCCGTCGCCAGAGCCTTTACTCAGTCCCATCGCCGTGGAACATGCGGTCGCCACGCGGCCATTCACGAAGGAAGCTTGGAAACGTAAAACAAAACCTCTTGAAATTCCAAAGCCAGTGGAGGAGCCGAGCCCGGGTAACGCATTAAAGCGGCGTATAGCGTTCGTTACGCAGGGCTCCGTAGGCGTCTCCGAAGATCACGACGATGACGACGACGACGACGACGATGACGACGAAGAGGACACGAAGGGCAAGGTGGGGGGCGGGGAGGAGGTGGGGACGTTGGAAGAGGCGGTGGCGCTGGCGCGCGCGCGCCTGGCCGCCGCCGCCGCCGCGCCCTCACCCTCGCCGCCGCGCACGCCACGCTCGCCGCGCTCGCCGCCGCAGTCGCGTGACAACGACGATACCGAAGAGGAGGGGTCCGCGGACACGATGCCGGCATACGGAGACCTCATCGAGCCGGACAGCAAGGCGGGCAATGGCGCGGGACCGGTGAGTGGTAGTGAGTAGCGAGTGGCGGTCAGTGGGCGCGCGCTGGCCGTGCGACGCGCGCGCCATGACCTTCGAGGAGAGCGCCGACGAGTGCTACCTCACGGTGTGCGAGTGCTGCGGCTTCAGCGCCGAGACGTCGCTCTTGTTCCCTGTACGTTTCCTTTACGGTAGTTTATCGGACGCCGCGACGCGATGCCCTTCGTGAGTACACGCTGATAGTTTGCCTGCTCTCGTGTGCTTAAAGTCAATTTAGAAATTATTGCATTGCTCAGTCCATTTGAATTCAATATATGCCTGAGGTCACGTGCAATTGTTGTTGCTGTTATCAATAAACAACATTAGAATAAATAGTTATTAACTTTGGCGCTTGAGTGCGAATTAAATTCAGTTTTATATTTGACAATATAATGCTTTTGCTGCTTACAACAGCACAAAACTAACGTTTTAAATTTAGACATTTAAATGTTTTATAATTAAAGTATTTCAAATATATTTAAGTAAACTTTTACATAATCAAAATCCAAAAGCGAAGTTTTATAAACTTTTTATTTAAATATATTCGTATTTATTATATATGTACATAATTGGCAAAAGCTTACGTAAAGCTGTATATCAAGCTTATTATCAATTACAGTGGACAATCTTATCATCGCTAATAGCAATTATAATATCCAAACATATGGCCTTCTTGTCTTAATATGCAATAAAGTCTAAAATTGCGGACACAATTTGGAGTATAGACGACATTATAAACGACAAAAAAATATACAGTTAAAAGCATTTTATTAATCAAATAAATTGAATCCGAGGCAGAACATTCACTCGATAGTATTTCTTATATGCTGTAGGCGCCTAAAAGCTTTTTTTTGTGTATAAATCGTGTATCAACGGATATTGGGTTAACCGGTCGCATTATACTTGTCAAACCGGTGAAGTTATTTTAATGACTATTTCGGAAATATTCGTCCGCTCCTCTCCATTTCAATTTTAAAAGAGTTTTTTTTGTTTAATTTCTAGAGCTAAAAGCATTTTGGAAACTAGGCAACTTGTTGTAAATAAATTGCAACATTCAAATTCATTGCGAAAAAAGTTTAACTTTTCTAAAGTATGGTTAACAATAATTAGTTTATTTCCAGTATTCGACGATAATTCAATATTATATATATTTAATAGTTTTTTAGAAGAGTTATGTATTATTAAAATACTTCTTATTATACAAAAATTATAAATACCAAAGTTTGGATTTATGAATGGATGGATGTTTGTCAGAAGATACGTCCAGAACGACACAATGGATCTTGATGAAATTTGGCATGGATGTAGAACATAATTTGGAAGAACACATTGGCCACTATTTTTTTTGTAGAATATTACTAATAGTACATACTAGAGGCCATTTTATGTGATTTCTAGTAATTAATAGTACCATATGTCCTTTCAAGTTTTTTCGGCTATAGCTTATCACCTCATGTAACAATTTTTAAGTAATATGTTTCAAACATTAATGCAGAGTTTTTTTTATCTTTTCATTCATCTCACATTCAAATGCAAATCTATATTATCGTGTTTCGTTTTACGTGAATAATAAAATACGAAAGAGGTTTATTACTTAAAAAAATTATGTTATCTAGATTATTCAATCCAAACAAGTTCTAGGAGAACCTTGACTTTTAGATTTTACTTTATTCAATTTTCTACAACAATTCTACGTCATTGATATCATTTACCGTTGGTTTCTGAGACCAAATTCTCTTGTGTAAAAAATATCGTCATCTCTCTCATTATCGTTGACAAAACAAAGAGATAACAATATGTTTCAAACGGTTATTTTGGTCTCAGAAACTCACGGTTATTTATATTTAGGTTTTATATAACTATATAATTTGAAAGGGGATCTCGCAGTCATGTCTTGTATTTCAATAAATCGTCTAAATTATTAATTTTTCACGTAAAGCTGGCACAAAAGCTAAAACGTTATAAAAAAAACATTCGGAAAGTTAAATAGTAATATTGTACAGTAACCTCTTTGTAAATTTGTGATAAGTTATCATGTTTGAAAACGGTTACAGAAAATATATTAATGTTGGTACATACAAGCTCTATTATCTTGTCTTTCAGAGACTCTTTCATCCAAATAGCTTCCATTCATTTAAATCAAATGCCATTGTTTTAATTCATCCGTAGGGGACAAACTTCGCTTATATCTTTTAATTATCGGCCGCAGGCGATTCCGTCCGCACGGAATTTAAAAAAATAATGTGTGTTCCTATGTGTTCTTCCCGACTATGAATTATACTCATATGTATGCCAAATTTCATCGAGATCCGTTCAGCCTTTCTGCGGATACCTTCAAATATTCGCATTTATAATATTAGTAAAATTATTGAAAGTAAATTATATGTTTTGAGGGGATAAAATGTTAAGTTTTAAGATTTACAGCGTGTGCATTCCACAGTTACATTTTTGTCTTACAACTTTTACTAATCCGTCATTTTAAACGATTTTATTTTTTTGTAGTATGTCCTGGTAGGCTAGTTTTATAATACTTGCCTGGCTTGGTTGAAATTTCACATTAAATCTGGGTTAGCCTCACACATATAAAAATAGAAAGTGCTCGACTTTACGATAAGTCCGTCGAAAATCAGTGGAACCTTACTATGTAAGGACTGCTCTTAAAACCTGCCACCCTTACGGTGAAAAAGAAAGTTACAATCGCTTGGTGTTATTTTGCTTATATAATGTAAATAATTATTATCAAAGAAAATTACTTATTAATAATATTAATTTGATTAAATGTGACGTCAAAAAATGAAATAAAATCTAATAATTTTACGATTATGTACAGATGTTAGTAAAGTTAAATAATAGTGACTTCATAATGTTCATATTTTTCTGTCTTTGTAATGTCCTTTATTATTGACAACACGTAAGTTTAACATTTATTCGCCATTAATTTAATATTGTGTCAAATTGCCAGAGTTTCGAACACCTTGCAAATTGATTTTGAATGTTGCGATAAAGTAAAAAGTATTTGCAATAAGATATCTATTTATTGCAGTTTCTTTATGCAATGTATCGATTTCAATTGTGGTAGATTTTTTTATATCAGTTTCATAAATTGATTGTGTTAAGCAAGATTTTTTATTAGAAAGTTATATCACAAATAAAATACAGTACCTCGATGACCGAGCTTTGCTCGGTATTTTTTTTTTAAATTGTGTTATTTATAAATCATATTTAAGTACGAATTACTAATAAAATGATGAAATATGAATAATATTTTTCGATCTTACCGATAGAGAAAGTTAAGTTTATGTTTAAGTTGATTATCGATAACACACGAATAAAATGACATTTTCTAAAAATGATTCCTATTATGATACTAAATTTTATGAAAAATCGTTGGAGCCGATTCCGAGATTCCAATTAATATATATTGCTCATTTAAAGATATAAGATAAATAGTTTTTAGTATAATACATTAATATTATATTGTAAATAGCGATGGAAACACAAATAAATTATAATTGACTAACTAAATTAATTTGAATGTAATTAGTGATTGCATTTTTTGATTCATTGTTAAAGAATGTTTAAATGACACTTTATGAGTTCCTAAATATTAATTTAATTACTTAATTTATTAATGAATGACGATGTTATTTCTTGTAAAAAAAATTGCAACGGATATATTTAATCACTCTGACATCAATTAAAAACAACGCAATCTTTTTATATTAAGGTTTTTAAGTTAGGCTCAAACAGAAAATATTAGATCCAAGTTTATACTAACTCGTAGGCTATTTGTACTGTATTTTCATGTGCTATCAATGATCGTATCATTAGGTACTACTATAGATAGGAGTGTTCAAATATTTATTGTAAATTGACCTTACTGGTTTGTGAAAGTTAGACAAATAACTAATATGATATCGTTGCTTAATCTGACTAACATTCGTGGTGATTGGTTTGAGGCCGTCGTTGATCCGTGTACGGTAACCCTAACCTAAGTGTCGTGTTACTCGCGGTTAATGATATATAATGTTCATATTCATAACCGTTGTTCATCGTCTATGAATTTTAAGAGACAGGATCTGCAAATGAACAATAAGTTCTAATTGGCTTACTTGTGTGTAAATTTTTGATTCAGTATGCGTTGATAAAGTCTTGCTAATTTTACGTGTGAGCATAATTTGGTGAACTTTTGTGATTATCACCAATCTTACGCTTCGAAAAGTGATAGAATTAATTTCGTACAATGGGCACGGCTTGCCTAGTCCGTTTCTCTTTAGGCAAAACTCATTATGAGCGATTGAATTCGTTAATAACTTGAATTATTATCGTGGGATATATAATATAAAAATTATTCGCAGATAACAATTCTAGATGACTTTATAATATGGAATCGCGATAAAGAATTGCGTCATTTAATAAATTAATAATAGAAAATACGTCATTTAAATGAAGCATTTTTCCGTGAGAATTTTAGCTTTAACGATAAATAAATATAGGTCATTTTACCTAAAACACAGTTAAAATAGAGTAAACTACTATTATTTTCATTACACCAAACAGATAATAAAAACGTAAGTGTTTATTTAGGCTTTTTAGGAAATTGTGTTGTTCCGCCAGCATTGAACGACTCATGTAATATGAACTAATTTATTAATTAGCAGTACACGATATGTACTTAATAAGGCTTCAGCGAGGAAATTCGATTATGAAAGTAGCACCAATAATCTCTATTATTCCACCTACGCTACAAATCCTTAATATCGTATCATATGTTAGGGGGCTAGGAAGGGTTAGACAGGACATAACCTACAACTATATTTAATATTTTACTTATATGAAAATAGATTACCAAAGTTTTAGATTCGACTTTCTTAATCCTTGCAAATATATCTGTAATGTCTGTTTATTATATAATTACTAACTATTGGAATAGATCCATCGAGGGAAATAAATCATAAGAAAATTATTAAGATGATGCCACAACTCATTAGTTGGTGAGCGTATGGTCGAGGTTTTATAACTGTCAGATTGTGGTAATAAAGTACATTGGATATTAATTAAATTGGATTATAGTAATAATATTACATTGTAGTAATAGAATAAGTTAATATATAGATGTTATAGAATTGAAGTATTTATTTTATTTATTTATTTAAGCTTTGTACACAATTTAAAGTACATAGTGTAACATTATATAGAAATACAGTGATGTACAGATGAGCTTAACTCTAAAAGAGTTCTCTTACATCTCGTATTGTCCAGCTTGTAAAGTTACCAAAAAAAACATTTTATTAAATATTGAGTTAATTTTTTTTCTTATTAACACTGACTAACCTGTTTGAAACCGTCGTGATTATATTCTACTTAGGCCTAAATTCGTAGATATAAAATTGAATCCTCAAATGTCGTAGAATAATCGAGTGGTAAGGAAAAGTTGTAATAAACACTCGTCTGTTATCAAACGTCCGATAAGAAATCGTGCACCCACTTCAACTCACTTAATAAAATGGCCTGTCTTCGGTACATCACTATAGTATGACTGCAGCCGCCATTGTGAATCTAACTGTTGTTTTTAAATGTGTAATTTTTATTTAAACAAAAAATAAGCACCTTTTTGTGTTCAATTTTTAAAGTTGTTTATTTTGTTTACGTTAATAAAAGTGTGACGTTATTAAAGACGATAAACTTGTATTCCTTTTTTAAAAATAATTTGAAAAATTAAAAGGAAAATGTGCACAAAGCCGTAAGCGTCCGCAGAAATGTGCGAGTTTATAATCGAGAATATTCTATATCATTCACGTATCTTGCTCCATTGGAATTATACTAGAGTTTCTTGACGAACCGATATCTCGATCACGCCGGTCGTGAACAAAGATGTCGCCCAAACCGAAGCCGAATACACGCGTAAGTTTTTTTTCAATACCGTCCAAGTACGTTGGTAATAATTCTGTTGAGCCACGTTTTTATACAATAGGAATGTTGACAAAATTTAAACTTTTATCTTATAAAGTATTTTTCGTGATGTACCTAATTTATTACTTATTTGATTAAATATCTTTCTTCTCCGTTTTTTACGTTACGGAATTTGAAGGTTGTTCGGTTGTAAAACATGACTAGTACGTGTCAATAGTTTTTTTTTAATATAAAATATGCCATAGACGTTTTACTAAGTTTTTTTTAATCTTGTTTTTGTAAATACCTGTTTTAATGCAAGTTAGAATTCCACTCAACTAATATTCTTTATTAAAATTTATCCGAAAGTAAAAATTTTGAACTGTGGTTATTGTTATTAAAAATCATGTTTATTTTTTTAAGATATGACTAAAATTTATTTCATATTTTTTAATCCGTTGATAACAAACTCAATACTTATGTAATGTATTATCTGAGATGGACCATTTATTTTCTGATAGTGAAATATTGTAAACATCACTAACAATGTAAACTGATACTTCGTTATTAATTTATTTACTTTGTTGTTGCTAATGTACATTATTGTGAGTCTTCTCTTCTACTTCAGATTTTATCATTACAAGTAATTTTTGTCGCCTAACCTATATATACATTTTTTTAATAACAACTAATTGGTAATCAAAAAAGTTTCTACTGACACATTTATTGTTCTAAATTTGAATTGAATCTATACCTTTTGAAAGTAAAACGACTTGATTAGGCATAAAATATGTCATTCTCATGAAAATGCTACGGGTTTTTTTAATAATTATCTGGAGTTTAATGGTCGGCAAAGAAAATCAAATAAAAATTAATATAATTATGCGAAATTAATAATTATGATAAATATATAATTTTTATTAGGTACTTTAGTAAAATGATATCTAATATTATTTCATAGTTCTACAAATTATGTTAACATTATTCTTGCTTTATTTTAGTACGAAATTAATTTTGCCTTTTTTATTATTCATGATGTATCGTGGGAAATTATTATTTTATTAATATGTTATTCCTCATACATAAATAACATATATATATATTATAATTTTATCTGTATGTTACTTTTTTATGTTTTAAATAAAGATTTTGTTCTAATTATCTGTAAAGATATACGCACAATATAACGGATCAAAAGATCAATGGACTTTTCGTTAAAAATAAATTTATATGTATTTGACACGAATTCTAGTTTATTTAATTCTCGTTCAGATAATAGCTGTTGTCTACGATTTCGTACCAATGAAAATAAAAAACACTTAGCGTTTATTTAGTTTCGTATTTAGCAAATAATTATGTAAAAAAATAACAATTTTTCGGACTCTATTCCAAATTATTTTTTATCTGTGCAAAATCCAGATCCGATCCATAGTAAAATTAGTACGATAGATTAATAAAGCTATATTTGTGTGCGATCAAGGTATTTATGTCATTAAATACGTCCTTAAGTCCATGTCTTTAATTGACACTAATTAGAAGATAGTCTTGTCAGCCGGAGGCCGCGGTAAACAAAACGTTTGCGTGTCCCCACGTCCATGCGTACCGACAATATGTCCATGTGTTGTGAAGGGATTATGTATTTATCGTCTAGTACTTTGACCGTCTCGGTTGCGGCTTTGTTCTAGAATGCGGCATTTTAGTACAGTTATTCCTGTAAATTAAGAAGGTTCATATTGTATAAGAGCGATAAATATATTACATTTCTATACAATTGTAAGAAAAAATAACAATAGACTTCAATTAATTTAAAAAATCCGATTAATTGAGTTTGAAAAATAAATCGAATATATTTCATCCAATTAGTCGTCTTTGCTTCGAGCAAAATCAATTTAAAAAAAAACAACATTCTATAATAATAATATTGTTACAGTCGCACGCGACCCCTAGCGCCGAACGGCGGGAGCATCTGTACAAGATCCTGGTGATAGGCGAATTGGGTACTGGAAAGACGTCCATAATCAAGCGCTATGTGCACCAGTTCTTCAGCCAACACTACCGCGCTACAATCGGCGTTGACTTCGCCCTGAAAGTTCTTAATTGGGACTCGAATACAATTATTCGCTTGCAGCTATGGGATATCGCAGGTAAGTACATTGAAGCATCGTTTAATAACTAATGCGGAACTTAAGTCTCTGCTTTCTCTTTCCCATTTCTTTAGATCAAGTGATATAATAGTCAAACATTGCTACATTTCTTGAATTTTATAATAAAGTTATCTTCTCTCTATACCTACTCTTAACTCCTCAGAAGTTTATTATGATTGTTAGAAAAAAGTTTTTATGCGTAATTCAAGAGAACCTGTTTTTTTTTTGTTTTTGTGCCGGTGCAAGAAGTTTTTATACTTATTTTTTTTGGGACAGTCACTTTTGACAATCTAATAATTGAAGTCAATGAAATATGGATGAACTTAGTCTCAATTTTGCTTGGATGTTTTTTGTGTTAATGTGTATTTATTCTATGTTATTTCTTGCGTTGTTAATCATGGTTCCAAATTAATTTAATTTATGTATGAACGTTTTTTGAAGTTATGTAAGTATATTACTTACTATATTGCAAAAATAGGGCACAAGCTCATATTAGTTTATTTTAAAAAGTTAATACTTTCTTCCGAGACAAAAGATTTAGAAGTCAAGATATTTGAAAATCTTAATACAATGATAAATAATGTTTATTGTATTCAAGGTCAAGAACGTTTCGGCAACATGACGCGTGTGTACTACAAGGAGGCTGTGGGCGCGTTCATCGTGTTCGACGTGTCGCGGGTGGCCACATTCGATGCTGTGGTCAAATGGAAGAACGACCTCGACACCAAGGTGCAGCTGCCCGATGGAACGCCCATACCCTGTATACTACTGGCTAATAAGGTATCTATTTATTGGGATGTTAAACGCTTCTTCTTCGTAGGCAAGTTGTTGTTTAGTTGTCTTTTATTTCCTATTATTATATATAAAATAAAGAAACTTTCAAACAGCACTAACTGGTCATCTTATCTTTTATAAAATATGTTTTCTTTTTAAAGGGAAATTTTATGAGGTCTTTTCGCCCCTCTTATAGATTCGTAACAGTAACCAAAAGATTTGTTGGACAAAATGTGACAAAAAGAACGTTGAAAGGACTTCCATCTCTTAACGGTTTAATCCATGATACTTAAGCCCTCTTAGGCCTCTGACTTTAAAAACGGTCACCGATACTGAATTAATGTTTTTGTTTGCAGTGTGATCAACAAAAAGAAGGTATCGTGAATTCTTCAGCCAAGATGGAGGAGTATTGCCGCGAGAAAGGCTTCGCTGGCTGGTTTGAGACATCCGCTAAAGAGAACATTAACATCGAAGAGGCTGCCCGCTCTTTAGTCAATAAGGTAATAATTATTTCCTCAATAACGTAGCATAAGGACGACAAAACGACAAACCAATTTTGAGATGTTATTCGATTTGTATTCTTGGACATCTTATGCGGAGAGTTGATAATCACAAAAAGCAAAAGTGTTGAAATTGAATGTAGATGGCTATAAAGGTAGAGGAAGACCAATGAAAGTATATTGAATTCAGATATGAATGCTAATAGACATGTATGGAGAAGTAGTACACATTGCCAACTTTCCGTTGGGATAAGGGCAGGTTGATGATGAATCGATTTGTATGTGTTTGAGAGTCATTGGGGTCAGTGGGATTTTTTGGTTTTATTAAGTGATAAAAATTAAACCCTATTAAACTGGAAAATAATCAAAGAGAACGGAAATTCTTTACTGATTGTAATAAATGTTTTTTTGCTTATGTTAATATGATAAATATTGTGCAAGCGATATTTAATATTTCCGATAGATTATATCTCAACATAATATCATGTTTTATTGCAACGACCTCGAATGACGCTTGTACCCATGCATATGTTATTTGTACCATTGGCATTCAAATATAATAATTATTTTAATTTTATTAATAACTAGCTATCGCCCGCGAGTCCGTTCGCACAAAATTAAAAAAACAAACAAAATTACTATACTATGCGTTCTTCCGGACTATGTTCTTTATGTGTGCCAAATTTCATTGAGATCCGTTCAGCCGTTTAGAAGGTACCTTCAGACAAACATCCATCCATCTAAACATTTACATTTATAATATTAGTAAGATTAATTGTAATAAATAGAGATCAGTTATCAAAATGTCCGTCCGTCCGTCACAATTGTCCGATATATTGATTTTAATTAAAAAATACAATTAAATTTGTTACTAGGTAGTTTACAAAACTTTGATAAAGTTATGTTTATATTTGTGTGAGTAAAATTTCGAAAAGGATAATGTCTCAATTTTTATTTTGAATTTTTATTTCCAAATTAACATAATCGTAAAAAAATTTAACTTTGAAATTAACATAAAAGAAACGTTAAGAGGGTCTTTAGGGTTTTTGAATTGTTTTAAACTTGCGTAATGATTATTTTGAATCGATTCAAATTGCGGTCAAATGGTTTTTACATTTAAATAATGTGTGTAATTTTAGGCGCGAAAATAAGGTCATTTTTAAATGAAACTTCTGTAGCTGTTGATTTATTAAACAACAGTATTTAATTTATGTTTGTTTTCATTAGATCCTTCTAAACGACAAGCTGCTACACAATAATGACAAGGACGGCGAAAGATTCGCTCTCGATCACAAGATCGCTAACGGCGAGAACAGCAGAAGCGGCGGCGGCGGCAAGTCATGTGCCTGCTGACCCAATCGTTAGCCGCCTCCATGCTGCAGTCTGCAACCGACCAATCAAAACTCTGCAAAACGATGCTGGACCAATGGAAAAGCCATCAAAATATGTTTTCAGGGACAAATGTCAAACTTGGAACAAATCAAAATGTAGAATCGATGTAAATTTGTACATTTGTAACAAGAAATAATAAGTACAACTGTATTGTTCTATTTGATTTTCTCTAAAATTCTAATTTTACAATTTCGACTACGACCTTACAAAATATATGTCTTCATAAATATAATATCTAGATTGTTCCTTAAAAACTGAGAGACCTTAAGTAATAATGAGTTATCGTGTGTTTTTTGGTTTGATTCTTAAGAGGATATTTAGAGAGATAAATATTATTTAAAGTGCCTACTCTGATCGAATTTATGACATGTTAATTATTGTAATTTTGACTCCTAATTATTGTTTTTGTCTATTATTGATACGTAAATAGTTGTTAATGATAAGTGTGGTTATCTATAAGATGGATTTTATGCGGTACAGTTATCTGTTGTAATGTTAAGTGGCTATATTTATGTTATTTTCATTTTTCTTATAAATAAAAACGTTAAGTTTAATCTAGCAATTGCTGTGTATATTTTTATAATCTGTCCGTTTTTTTTTGTTTTTAAATTTGTAACGACCGCGTAATTTCCATCAATTGTCGAAGCACTAATGTGCATTTATTCATGGATTTATTGTGTGCCATGTGCGGCTAAAGTCATAAGCAATTATAAAGTACATTATTGTAAGAGTGTATAAAAAGTACATCTGTAACGTTGTGTTATAAGTATTACTTATTTTACAAGCGAGAGAGAAATTTATTGTAATTTATTGTAATATTAATAAAAGCGTTTAACAGAAATGTGTGTTTGATTTTTTACAGGAATATCTATTTTATTAATTTTACAAGATTTTATTTGTGCCTGTCCCTATTTTTATCTAATCTCGCAAATAAAATTTTATTCACTTTTCATACATTTCTAAATCGAACACAAAGGCTTGTTTTCATTTTTTTTTAATTATTTGAGAAGACACTTCATCAAAATTATACTTTCTTACATAGTAAAATTAACAAAATAATTTGAGAATAATGGAGAAATTTCGATTGCTTGGAAATATGGTAACTTAAAATAAAATCTTTTTTATAAAAAAAAAACTGGAGACATATGTTCCATTGTAACTGATCTAGAAATACTGGGTAATAAAAATATAAATGCTAAAAACAACGTCCACACTTTTGCTACTAACCTACTTGAATAACACGTTTAAGTATTTTGGCATTTACAAATGTTTTCTGCATTGTTTGTTATTTTATAAGGTCAGCGTAACATAAACTGAATTTGGGTAATTAGCGAGTTTCTTATGCTTCACTTTAAATTTTAAAATAAGAAGGTATATCTTTTAAAAGGATGATAAGCAATAGTTGCGTAATAACTGTTAAACTTTTCTAGGACCTCAGGAATGTTACATCGAATGATAACTCTTCGTTGTTAGAAAGGAATGAGTAACTTTAGGAGTTTTTATAGGAAAAGGCACGGTACACGCGCAGCGGATAGCCAAATATTAATTGATCCGACGCTACTGGATATTCACGCGAGCAAAAACGCAGATGCCTTACCGGCTTTAAGGAAGAGGAGTAGAGGTAGTTGCAAAATGTTTTAACGTAATTTAGAATGGAGATAACAATGTTTGAGGCAGATGATCTATTGTGCGAACTTGGAGCAGTATTTATTTTTAGCACTAAAGTATTATTTAGATGAAAAATAATTCAGATTTAATTAGATTAAAAATCAACCTATTACAAATTTAGTAGCGGTTTATTAGTAAATGTGCCTTTACTAACGATATAAAAGCAAAAGATATAAATATTTTTATTCGTGCATAATTTTGAAAAAATGTCAGTTAATTAACTTGTAAACAAAGAAGTTTCCGTGGTGTAGCGGTTATCACATCTGCCTAACACGCAGAAGGCCCCCGGTTCGATCCCGGGCGGAAACATAGTTTTGTTAATTTTGCAAAAGATATACCGGACTGTTGTATAATACAATTTGGAAACTGTTCGAATTAAAAAATTTATGTGCTTTTATTGTAAAGATCACCAATTTTACTTATATTATAAATGAGTATGTTTAGATGCATGTTTGTTAAAGGTATCTTCGGAACGGCTCATTAGATCTCGCTGAAATTTGGCATAGTTGTAGAACATAGTCTGGAAGAACACATAGGTTACTCGTTAGTATTTTTTAATTCCGTGCCGACGGTGTCACGCGCGACATCTAGTGAATAAATATTTTTTTTTTTATTAAAAGAAGGCAACAAGAAAACTAGACATAATTATCGATGTAATCGTTTGTGTTTGTTGTTGCTTTATCTAATAGTAGTAATTTGTTTAATGTTCGCGTTACCTCATATTTTTATTACGGGATATCTCTTCATCAATTCCTTTGTATTGTCAAAAGCACTACAATCTGACTGGTTTACTAAATGTTAAACTATTGTTCATAAAAATAAATTAAATAAAATGAAATGCGAAAGCGAATCAAGCGAATGAAATAAATCATATTTACTCAGTATCCGAGCGACGGGACAAACTACATTAACGTCAAGTTAATATAAATAAAGCAATCTGTTATCTGTTTGAACAACAATCTCATTGTGAGATATGTCGCCGGCAGTTCTTTCTCAACCTCATCTTGTTTATTGCTGTGCTGGATTTTCGGATTGGCTCCCGTAACGTCTTCTTACCGTTTGCTGTTGTCAAATGTAGTGCAGTTTGTGAGGTGTTGTCAATTATAAATGGAGTTACCAAAGGTATCAAAGGTAGGTAATTACCTTGAACAATTTTATTTATTTATAGTATCGTTTGACTGTTCCTAAAGTGTGAAACACTCTGTAATTTTTAATGTTGCAATATTTGACTATGGTTTCGTGAATAATGCGGTATGTAGATAATTACATCTAAGTTTTTGTTCCCAACTGAAGGTCATTTAAAAATTGTAAGGTACACTGCATAAGTTTGCTTTTCTCGTAAATCTAACGTTAAGACAAAGAAATTTCAGTCTTCTCCGTAATAATTTTATAATATTGGTACATTTAATTAAGTTTTTTCTAAGAAGCCTTGCTCTAGTTGTTGTATATAAGTTTCGGGTAGGCGCCTTATGAACTTTGGTAACTTACATGTTGCAAAATCTTAAATCGAAACTAACCAATTTTAATTGAACTTGTTAATTTCTTTCGAATTAAAAGTTATCTTAAGAAAAGCAACATAACAAATATCAATTACTAGCAAAATTAAAAAAAAAAATTAAGAGCCTGTTCTTGTACATGATGTTCTATTTCTATGCCAAATTTTAGGAAGATCCGTTGAGCTGTTCTTGAGATACCTTCTAACAACAACTATCCATTTAAACATTCGTATTTATAATATTAGTAAGATTAGGTAACAGCAAACCAAAAAAACCGTTTAATATAACTCGGCAATGTCCATCGAAGTCAATAGTCGTAAACACCGGGTTCATTGGCAATTATAAAGTGTTCTCATATCAAACCTCCTTGGGTCCGGATGTACGTTATAACCAGAAAAAAAATTAAAACAAAAATATTCCTTTCGAATACGTTCGCCTCGTAAACGTAATTACCAACAGTGAAATTACGTTGCATCTTCTGATTTGATCCAAACGGAAGGTAAACAGGGCGACATCTCGTGTTTTATTAATGTAATATAAAATGTAATAAACGGATCGACCTGCACGATTAAAAAAACTTTCCACAAAACTTGTAATTAGCTGACTGCGAACCTTATGCGTATAGGTTGAGGACATTTATTTCCTACCCATATAGGTGAAACATTTAGTGGTCACAATGTACTTAGTTATGCTACATAAATATTGAGAGAGCAGACATACATAGTATAAAACACGGTATAATTCATATTTGAACTTGTCTTTTTTAGAGAAATGACGATACTTTGGGCATAGTTGACGTAGTTCTGAAGGTAAGAGAGCTCAAAGTGTGGACTCCAGAAGAGAAGTCATTGTGGAGGAAGAAATCAAGCAAACCAAAAACGCTTATACTAAATAACGGTAATAAGAAATGTCTCTTAGTTTTAAAATATATAATCGAAAAATATAAATTAATAAACCCTTTTTTATGATTCGTTGAACCCGCGCGATAATACCAAAGGGTCACATTTTGTCATTATCATCACGACCACCTGTTCTGTTTCCTTTCAATTCAATTAGTAAATTCTCTACCTGCGGCATCCTTTTTTATTTCATCCCAGGTAAAGATTTTCAAATAAAAACACAATAGGGGTCAAATTACGACCAGTTCCTTATGTTAAATTATGTCATAGTTTGTATGAGGATACGATTATTAACTTTTAATTATGTAAGTGTGACTTTACATACATATTTTGTTTATTCCAAATAGCTTATTTTTTTACATGTTCATTTTTTTAATTTCAGTCACCGACTGCATTAAATCTGGAGAATTTTTAGCAATCCTAGGCCCAAGGTAATATATCAATATTATAATAGTAAACAACAACACAACTCATGCCCGTAACCCAAAACAGCAGCGACCTCAGGCTTTAATGTTTCCCCACACACCTTTCTTCTACAGTGTAATCTATACCTTATTCCACTAATCTTTATAATTGGATAGGTCATTGCTTGAATATTCCAGCTTTTGCTTCGTTCTGACGTTTAAACAACCTATTTTAGTTCTTGACAATTCTATTTCTTAGTTCTTATTAGTTCAAATTCTCTTCGACGCTACCAATGGTATCCCTCAGCACCAAAATGGTGAAAATCAAATAGGCACAAAATATTACGGTTTATAATGTATATAGGTTAGTGAGTACCTTTTTCTGTTTTTAGTGGTGCAGGAAAGACGACGTACTTAGTGTCATTGTGTGGGAAATGTACCCTGCCGTCAGAGGGCGTGGTGACCGTGAACGGCCGAAATGTCAGGGAGTTACCACCAGGCGAAGTGGAGATACTGCCCCAGTTCGATGTCTTCATGGATTGCCTTAGTGTTAAGGAGCATCTGGTATTTATGGTAAACGAATTTTTAAGTTTTTGGGCTATTTTTAGAACTTTAAAATGTTATCCGTAGATCCTTAAATGATAGGGACAATATTTGTTTACTTTAGCATAATTTTTGTCTTTAATATATTTCAGACAGAAATGAAAATTGGCAGCGCCCAAAACTCAAGGAATGACACAGTTTTAAATGCAATTATGGATATGTTAAAATTAAAAGCTCACGAAAATACTTTGATCAAGTCACTATCGGGTGGAGAGCGAAGGTTGTTGTCGTTAGCTTCATCTGTAAGTATTAGAAAATAATTAATTAAAAAAAATTACTCCCATACACTGATATAAGAAGACCACGAGCAGTCTGAGAAGACTTGGCATAGAATATTTAGTTCTTCTTCTATGCAAATTGTCCTAACTACATAAAGCAACATAGAAATTTACATTAAATGTACGAGTATTGTTGTAATAAAATCTTCTTATACAAAAAAATCGCGTGTCACAATTTTCGTTCTCATACTTCTCCGAAACGGCCTGACCTATTCCCATGAAATTTTATGAGCATATTGAGTAGGTCTGAGAATCGGCCAACATCTATTTTTAATCCCGCGCGGACGGAGTCGCGGGCGACAGCTAGTAATAATATATAATTTATTTATACTTACACATATGTATATCATATTGCCTATAAATAAATTGATATTAAATACATAAAAAGCAGACAAAGGTCCAATAGGTTTCCGAAGATAAATTTAAATTTAGTAATCAAATTATCATCAATG